CATCACTGGAGCGTGGCTGGGGGGATACGGAGGACACAGATGATACACCTCCCACAGAGGACAGCTTGTCCTTGCCTCTGGGCAGCCTGGCACACATGAACGACTCCATGTTGCAGTTCCTGCGCAACGACTGCCGAGTTGCCCACATTCTAACTTGTGCTGATTACTGGGTGGCCACCCTGCTGGATCCCCATTACAAAGACAACGTGCCGTCCTTAATTCCCTCAATGGAGCGTTATCGGAAGATGCGCGACTACAAGCGCACGCTGGTAAATGCGCTGCTGAGGGCATTCCCAACTGACACCGGGGGCTCAGTGGAAGCACAAGGCGAAGGCAGAGGAGGAGGAAGAGGTCGCCAATGCAGCTGGGGCACCGCCAGCACCTCAGAAGGCAGGGTTAGCATGCCAGAATTGTGGAAAAGCTTTGTCAGCACGCCACAACAACCACCACCACCAGCTGATATGAAACGTCTTAGCAGGAGGCAGCATTTCAGCAACATGGTGGAACAGTACGTGTGCACATGCCTACACGTACTGACTGATGGGTCTGCCCCATTCAACTTCTGGGTCTCCAAATTGGGCACATGGCCTGGGCTTGCCCTTTAATCCTTGGAGGTGCTGGCCTGCCCTGCAGCCAGTGTATTGTGTGAACGTGTGTTTAGCATGGCAGGGGCGTTATCACAGACAAGCGCAGCCGCCCGTCCACAGCCAACGTGGACAAGCTCACGTTTATTAAAATGAACCAGGCATAGATCCCACCAGACTTGTCTGTACCTTGTGCAGAATAGACATTTATACCCGCCTCACCCAGCCATTGTTATACTCAAGTGCACTTATTCTTTTTTTTTTTTATATGTCCCAATATTTTGGGGGCTACACCAATTTAAAAAAAACAACAACAACAAAAAACAAATAAAAAAAACAGTGTTTGTTACCTCCTCCTCCTCCACTGCCGCTTCCACCTACACTGCCACATTCACCGCCTCCTCAACCTCCTCAACCTCCTACTCCACATCCACCTCCTCCTCCTAGTTCAAGATTATTATTTTTAATTTTTATGTATTTTATGTTATTTAAAGTTATTTCCCTATCCACAGTTTTTTTGCAGGGCACTTGTCCTACTCTTACCCCCATTTTACTTCCTTTTGCAGCCCTCTAGCCCTTTCCAGGACTTTTTTAGAGCCATTTTAGTACCCAAAAGTTCGGGTCCCCATTGACTTCAATGGGGTTCCGGTTCGGGGTCAAGTTTGGGTCAAGTTCAAGTACGAACTCGAACCTTTTGCTGAAGTTCGGCCGAACCCGGCGAACCCGAGCATCCAGGTGTCCGCTCAACTCTAGTTATAAAATGTAATTTAATACAAAATAATATAATGCAATCTAAAGCCAACATGAATTCAAAAAGCACATCAAATAAAAGCAGATGCAGTCTCTTTTATTCCAGAAATTACTGGCAATCAATATTCCCCAAAGGAATAAACCCTAAATCCAGATGGTCCTTGAAGGTTGATTTGGGAAGCACTAGTATTGCCAACGCCTGCAGATACAATAATCCAAAGATCAGATATAATATGGCTACTGTTGTACTATCAAATCCAAAAAAGATCTTAAAGGGATACTACAAGTGCCAGGAACACAAAGCTGTATTCCTGGTACTGTGTGCCTCCGCCCCCTCCCTCGTGCTTCACCACCGACATGAATAAATGGTTAAAAACCCTTTATTTGCTTAACTGATGCAGCGCAGATGTCCCTCAGCACTCGGTCATGGCTCCACCTCCTCCTCTGTCATGCAATGAGTGGGCACTAATGTGCATGCGCGGCAAATGTCACGCGCGCATTGGACCTTCCTATAGGAAAGCATTAAATCAATGCTTTGCTATGTGAAAAAAATCTGACCTTGGATGTCCTCATAGTGTGAGGATGTCCAGTGTCAATTACTGGACCAAATGTGTGTTTGGATCCAGGAAGCGGCTGTAGTAGATGTCTCCCTGTTTCTCTGGAACTGCAATGTTTAACATTGCAGCACTAAATGCAATAGTGCCCCCAGACCACTTCAATGAGCTGAAGTGGTCTGGGTGCATATAGTGTTTCTTTAAGTCCTAACTGTAAATTAAGTGTATACAAAAAGTTCAAAATATAAATGTGTTATATATTTTGCACCCCTGTGATGTTCATCTACATACATTGATACACTTTGCTGATGTTTATCATGAAGAAATATTATAGATGTATAAATACAAAAAAAGACTATATGAATAAAAAACAGTCTGTTTGTTTTAACTTGTTTACTGGGTAAAGATTGGTCTCAATGTATCTTGGTCAGATTTTGAACAGACGTTGCATGGTTTTCACTTCGCTTATCTATCCACTAATGGTAAAATATATGTTTTAAAACCACCATACACAAATGTGGGCAAAATAATAGTCTTAGTAAAAAAATTCCAATTTTGTTATTGTAACTGATTCACACACCAAATTCAGTTAGGGTTGGCATGTCACTGGCTCCTGATGTAACATTAGTATAAGCACATAACTCCAATGGGGTGTACATCCCCCTGGAATTTGACAATGGAGGGTACATGGCATTATTAGGGGTGAAACTAGACATCCATGAAGAAATGCATTTAGCATAGTTAATTGGGCACTATTATTGTTAAGGCTGTCACAATTTGGCACTGTGAAATATATAAAGGACTAACACTTTTGAGATTCCTGTCCCGTTATTGAACATGAGTGGGAATTTTCCAATTGTATTAATATATGTATAGAGATATGTGTTCTCAGTTTAGCAAAGTGCTTGGGATTCTTTGCAATTTTTTTATTATGCATTTGTACTCATTGTCAACTAAATTGTGATAGCATGTTTTATTTTTCTAATAATTCACATTGATGATGATAGTCTCCTACTTGACTAATAAATATAAGTAGCCAGATATCAAAGATTATTTTACACTTTCAAACAAACAAAAACACCAGCTCTAACCAAGCCAACTGGAAGTGTGTGTACCCTTGCTTCATTATTGTATAAAAGCTAAAAGAACAAAATAGTCAAACTGGGAAAATTCTATAAGTCAGCTTCCAGTACAGCTATTTTAGCCTTAAATTTGAAGTTCACTTTGAATGCCTCATTATTCACTCTTTAGTTAGTAACCCCTTAAGGAGGCATTTTCCTTTCAAAGTCATTTGAAAAGTTGAAGGTTACGGGGCAGACTTGTTTGAGAAACCTATAATGAAATTCCACTGAGTGTAATTTAAAGAGACACTGTAGGCACCAGAACCACAACAGCTTAATGCAGTGGTTCTGTGGCAAAAACACTTTTCTCAGTTAACAGTTAATGTTAACAATCCTTTTAGGAGAAAAGGTAGTGTTTACGTTGCTTGCTAACACCATCTATATGGCTCTGCATGGAGACACTGAACACTACCTATAGAGATTCACTGAGTCAATGCATTTCTATGAGAAGATGTTGATAAGTGCATTAGCCTCTGGAAGCATTGGATTGGCTGAGATCATTAGTATTAGGAGGAGGGGCAGGCACGGCAAGGAGGGGAGGGAGCATAAGATGAGTAAATAGCTTTATTTTGCTTATCTACAGGGTTCCTTTATAGCAGGGGATGGCAATCTACAGCACTCCAGATGTTATAGACTACATCTCCCAAAATGTTCTCACAGCCATAATGCCTAGAAAGCATCATGGGAGATGTAGTACACAACATCTGAAGAACATATCCATGCTTTAAAAGATAAGAAGTATCTGGCTCTTTAATTGGTAAATAGATCATTCAGTTTAATAGCACTTAAAATGTTTAAAAAAATTTGAAATACATATGATGCACCTGGAACTTTTTCAGCAAGGCATTAAAAGCACTTTTTACATATTATTTAATTAAACTGCTTCATAAACGTGATTTGAATTGGTCTTTATTACTGTTATGTATTTGATGCTTGTATTTAATTGGTTTTCATAAGAGATTAAGGCAACACATTGTTTCATATGACAGATGTAGGAAAGGGTATGAGCTTGTAACCAGATCCAAATAAAGCAGGTGTTCTATCAAATTTCCCTACCCGTGAAAATCCCCTACCCTTGTCACTTCCAGTGAGGGGAATCAGCTGGATCCTGTGCTGCACATGCGTGCTAGCACTCCTGCTACTCCTCCACAGCAAGGTCCTGGAAGGTAAGTAAAACTAGTTTTACACTTTCATTATAGTTAGTGCATTCACTAAGCTTAGGACATGGGACATTTAGGGTTAATGTTAGGGTTCAAATTAGGGTTACGATTAGAGACTTGTTCATATTTAGTGATATTTCACATTTGGGGCATATCACTAAATTGTGCTTTTTCACACTTTATTTTAACCCTTACCCCAAGGGTTAGGGTAAGAATAGAGTGTGAGAGGTTAGAATCACTTACATAACCCTAATTTGAACCCTTACTTAACCCTAACTGTCCCGTGTGCCTAAGCTTAGTGAATGCACTAACTATAATGAAAGTGTAAAACTAATTTACTTACCTTCCAGGACCTGGCTGTGGAGGAGTAGCAGGAGTGCTAGCACGCAGGATCCAGCTGATTCCCCTCACCGGAAGTGACGAGGGTAGGGGATTTTCACGAGGTAGGGAAATTTGATAGAACACAGGCATTGAACTGTAATAACTGTTTTTCTGTTTTTATATTATGAGTTCTAGCGGTGTCTTCAAACTGAAAAGTATGCCATAATAGACTAGGTTTTAAATTAACAAAAGACTAAAAAAAAAACCTAAAAGGGCCAATTTGAAGGAATTCTCCCTATACTGCTTCTTCCCCTGTGATTATTTATTTGAATGCCATTTGCAGCACATTTGCTATAGGTTCTTCAGAGTTAATTTAATTTCAGATGCAGTGCATGCAGCACTTTGTTTTTCAAAACATTTTAATGTATAGAAGCCAATAATAACATTAACTGTACATACACTAGTTCATTTTATTTATTGATTTATTAAAAATGTAACAAAGTAATGCAAACATCCAGTAAATGCCCCAATACATCAATTGTAACTACATTAAAAAAATATTCATGGTCTTTTTGTGGTTTTCTTCTCATGAGTGGACAGTGAGTTCTGACACAAACAAGTGAAGTTGTCGTTTTGTAGTCTTTTTAGAAACAGGCTGATCAAAAAACTTGACCTCGATATTGCCATCGCTGAATGCCTCCCTCCTGGTGTCTTCACTCGTAGTTTCTCTCCGAGCAAAACTTGCTTTTTGTTGAATTAATGTGATACCGGAGTTTCCAGCCCTCCTTAAGGGTGAAGCGTCTTTGACACAACAAAAGCATATTGCAGACAAGAAATTCTTTTTGAAATTCTCATTCATAAAAGCATATACAATGGGATTGCAGATAGAGTTGAAAAAGCCAACTAATTGTACTATGGCAAATATCATCTTGATTGTAACTTCATCATGTTCATTTTCAAAATTACCTAGAATAGTGAAAAGTGGGGAAAGAAAGATTACATTGCAATATGCAACCTTCTTCTCGCTGTCTCTCAATCTCCTTCTTCTTAATGCTTATGAAGTACTTAATTTCTACAAACATAGAGGCATACAGAAAATCTAAGAACATATCTATATATTTATGCTAAAAGAAAATAATTGAATTTAACATAATTTAAAGGATCACTAAAGTCACCAAGACTGCTTCATCTGGGTGTAGTGGCCCTGTATGTTTAACCATTCAAGGTAAAACAATGCTGTTTTGCAGAAAGGTCAGTGTTTACCTTGAATGTTTAAACACGCCTCTAGTGGTTGTCATACTGACAGCTAACAGAAGCGCTTCCTCTAAACCGACCGAGTAAAACTTGGTCACGTGACAAAGCAACTCATAGTAAAGCATTGGATTAAATGTTTTTCTATCAGAAGTATTAGATCCATGGGAGGGGCAAGCCATGCATGTCCATCAGGTCCCCAATGCCCCTCTATAAAAATCATTGGATTGTACCATATCTGGAGGAAACCATGCATACTGAATATACATTTGCAGGACAGCAGCACTAAGGGGGGAGGACAGCAACGACAAATGGAGGGTGGCACTAAACTAGATATGGACAGGGTCACTACAGCGTTAAGAACATAATTTTGTATTCCTAATGCTATAGTGTTCTTGTACACAATATATGCAAATTATTTATGTAAAAAGTATACAACTGTAAATAATGTTACAAATGTCACTCAATTGCACTATTATTTCTATCAAATAAATATTCTTCCATGGATAGCAAAATTGTTCTATGGATAACTGGAAAAAACTCCAGATTGTTCCTCAAGACTCCCTAATTCACAGATACGTGAACTATGGGATACCTAGTTTCCTGGTTCAAATACTAATAAGGCAAGAGTTGCATGGTTTATTAAGTTGTTTTTTTAAGTTACGCAATATGGTAGTGGTTATAGTACACGAACTGTATGTGTACACTCCCTCTAATTTCTTCCATCTGTCTGGTTTCTGTCTATTTTGGTAGGTTTGACAAAACTGGATGATTTTCTGGCATTCAAAGCCCACCTCCTCAGCTGGGACATTAAAAAAATATTGCCATGTTCCTCATTATGTGCTCATAATATTTGTACTATAAGTGGTATTAGATTATGTCAGTATAGCATTGTCAGAATGGTTAATAGTGCTTTGAGGGCACCTAAATCCTGTTCATATTTTTTATATGTTTCAAATATGTTGGATGCATGCATGAAAAAGTAATATTTACAACCAACTGTAGTAATTATAGTGCTTGGAGTGCTAAACTGGGAGAAAGTAAATTGGCAATAATTGAAATTATGTAATTATGTATATGGATATATATATTTCCTATTACTTTTATTTATTTATATATACATATATATAATTTCATTCTAAGTGTATTTTGATATAAATATATATATATATATTTATATATATATATTAATATCAAAATACAGTTAGAATAAAATAACATACATATATTTTTTTTAAATTGTTTTATTATTTTTACACTTTTTTATTTATTTATTATGAATTATTATTTTTTTATAATATATATATATATATATATATATATATATACATACACACATACATATATACATTTACACACAATATATATAGTTATATAGTTAAAACATTTTTTACAGATGCAGGGAGACTGCCTGTCAGTTTAGTTCGGAGCTATCACATGGCCCGCAGGGGCCTAATTTGTTGTGGGCTGACTGTATGGGTTGTCAGGCAGTCCCCCCAGACCGGGAGGAACACCGATCGCCGGCAGGGAAACAATGGCGATCGGGTAAGTAATATACTTGCCGCAGACATACTAGGTATGTCCACGATCCTTAAGGACCATTTTTGGAGGACGTATTTAGTACGTCCATGGCCCTTAAGGAGTTAAAGAAATAAAATTATGCTTGTTTTTACTAAAAGTTAATTTATGAGACCATAACTACCATAATATCTTCTAATGCAGTAGCATAGAAAACATCTTCTAAAAACATCATCTGAAGACTGGAATAGCTGTTTCGGTTGAATATGTGCTTTCATTCACTTTAAAATGTAAAACACAGATACTATGGTAACATTTCTTAGCTGATCAGGTGAGAAACAGCAATGCAAACTAGAGCCTATGGATGGAACAAAAATGAATACAAAGATTACATTATAAGACCTATTACAAATTGCAATTATACATTATTTCTTATCTTTGGTGTTTTCTCCATAAAACCTATTCGGTACTTACTCTACTAAATAATACTGTCAGTAATTTCTAAAAGAAAAAAATAATTAAACATTACATATAACAATAATAATAATAAGACAACCATGGTTCTTACTGTTTTTGGAAGCATTTACATTTTGAAACTCTATAAAATAATATATCACATTGAATTGCTTATTGAAATCAAATGAAAACACAGCAGTTACTTACTGTATTCTATCATCATGTGAACAACATGAAATGGGGCCCAGCAGACTGCAAAAAGAACTACCACTGTTACCATCATTATGATTGCGCGCTTCTTCTTCCTAAGTGAATACAGCAGCTGTTTAGAAAACTCATTAAACATGTGGTTCAGACTTCATACAGTTTCTTCATTATGCAATCTTGCTATCACAAGCTCAATTATGCCAGGGTCCTGAATAGAATGTTCAGTGGGCGCATAAATATAGTTTTACATAACACAGGAAATGATGTGACCTGCTTATCTCTAGTTGTCCAGGAGATTTTAACCTATTCCTTATTCATACTGAAATATCAAGGCAAATAGAACCTTTAATATTGCAAAGTATTATTTTTCACCAAAGAAAGACTTAATAGTAATAAACTAAGCTAATTGGGAGAGATAGATTTCAGAATATATATAATATAAATACTCACACACACATATATATATATATATTCTAAATGGCCTATTATTGTTTGTAATTTACAATTCCATTGTCAATTCTCTACAACTCCCAAATTAGAGAATAACCCTGAATGTGGATTAAAATTAAAGAAAAGTGCAATGTGCTTGTTTAAATGAACAGTATAGGGTTAGGAATACAACACTGTAAAAAGCTAAAAAAAAAAAAAAAAAAAGGTTTTGCTTGTCTTTCCTCCAGTGTCGATAGTCCCTTAGTGGTGCTGCCTTCCATGACATCATCTGACTCTCTCACAGATGGGCCAATCAAATGCTCCTCGTAGAGGAACATTGGGTACTAATGCACATGTGTGCAGAGTGCCATATGTGCATCCAAAAGCTTCTCCTACGTAAGTAATGAATTTGATGCTTTCCTAGGAGCTGCAGTTGGTCACATGACCGAGTTTCATTATGTTGTTGTAAAGGAAGCACCTCTAGTGCCTGTTAGGAAGACATCCACTTTTTTCTACGATGATCGCTTGTAAACATGTACATTCAAACACCAATCTTGGAAATTACTCTTGACTTATAATGATGTGGCCACTCTAGATTATAAAAGACCCTAACCTAACTTATTTTATTTCTTAGCTTGTGAACCATTAGTCCTTGGTCCAGGAGTGGGCTGGCATGGGCAGAATAGCAAATGCTCCCTGAGCTACTCAGACTTTAAAAATTTTGTCACTGGAATCTTCTAAGAACACAAATATTAATTTAATTGGTTCAGTATTGTCTATGCACCTGCTATACTGCCTCTTTTATTACTCTTGGACATCTATATTTACTCAACTTCTCAGACTATCAAGGCATAGTGTGTTTGCGATAATATAATTTTATCATATATCTGGAATAGTGTGTCAGCTTGACTTCTGGGCTGCTTTGCACAGGAGTTTATGGATGTAATAAGCTCTGCACATCAAAGGTTGTTATTAAATTGCATATCCATGATAAATGTGCACAGAGTAAAAGTGGTTAAAAGCACAATATTGCAAGAAATGTAAATACAAATTTTGAAACAAACCTAGATATTTTAGACATCTCGTTTCCATGAATGGTTTGAAGTACTGAAGCATCTCCAACTCTTTTTTTAATCCAAAGTTCATAGCCAATTTTACTGTAGAGAAGAAGCATCAATGTGAGCGGTAGGAGGAAAAGAATCACTAAAATAAATGTTGTGTAGATTTTCTGATGAACTTGACTTGCCCATTTTTCCAAACAGCAAACATATTGCTTTTCAAACAGAAAGTCATATTTAATCTGAAAAAAACAATTGGGTTTTAAACATATTAGAAATCTGGTGAGCAAAATCATTATTTATACAGGCAATACAAGCAAACATTCTACTCCCAAAGGAAGGTGCACCTAAGGAGTTACATATGAATATTACATATTATATCTATATAGCCTGCTAGTGATATTTATGATATTCAAAGCTAACCTGCAACTATCACAGAGTTGGGAGAAAACACAACGTATGCATATTGTATTTATTTATGTATTAGGCAATTTAAGTTTGTTAATGCAGAGCACCATAAAGATACAAAGTGAATCAGTCTTTTTAAGTTACCATCAGAAAATAGGTGCCAATATAGCTCATGCATAAAATGTTTCTTTCTTGGTGAATATGACATGGCATGAGGGTAAAGATCATACTTCATTCTCTCCAAACTGCATAGTATTCTAGGTATATTGCATCTTCAGGGAGTATGGTGTGTCAGATTCAGCAGCAATTAAACTCAGGTAAACTATCCAACCCACAGTCTTAAGCCATCCATTCAATGTAGATATGTGTTCCTTCAATACAGAACTCTATTCATGATATATATAGAATAGGTTCTGCAAAATGTAGTCATTAATTTCCCTTTTAGCAGAAGGGACTGTCTTATCCCTGGTGCAGACCTCCTCTACTTATATTTCATCTATCAAATCCAATGTCCAAGTAGACTATTTTGGTGCCATTTTGTTCATCCTAGATCTTTTGCCTGGTTAACAAATCCTCAATATTCTGTGCCACTTTGGCTACTTTCTTTGTATAC